CAAACTCCACACAGAAATGCCAACTGACCCAGCCGGGACTCAAACCAGCGACCTTCTTGCTGTGAGATGACAGCACTAGCTACTGCGCCACTGTGTCACTTTCAGTTGAATAATTAATAATGTAGTAATTTTATGAAGCAGACGGCTCGGTGGCTCAGTGGTTAGCACTGTGTACTCACAGCAAGAAGATTGCAGGTTTGAGTCTCAGCTGGGTCAATTGGCGTTTCTGTGTGGAGTTTGCATGTTCTCCCCGTGTTGGCGTGGGTTTCCTCCGGGTGCTCCAGTTTCCCCCACAGTATAAACACATGCGCTATAGGGGAATTGATGAACTACATTGGTCGTAGTGTATGAGTGTGTGTGTGAATGAGTGTGTATGGGTGTTTCCCAGTACTGGGTTGCAGCTGAAAGACATTCGCAGAGTAAAACCAGCCTGATCTCACAAGGAAGTGTAAGTATTTGACGTTTTGTCGGTTTAGTGGTTAATTCGTACGAGTTCAGTCGTATGAAAATGTACGATTTTAAAAAGGAGGCGTGGCACTAAACCCCACCCCTAACCCCAACCGTTATTGGGTGTTGAGCAAATCGTACTAAATTGTATGAATTAGATTGTATGAATTCATTTGAATTAAGCCTCCATTTCACTGCACACGACAAACAACAAGCGACAGACCGGAAGTCATAATTTCCAATGGAGAGCAGTCCGGGAGCTGCGTTGAGTTCCGATCATCTCCGTATGCGGAAAATTTGGATCCGAATTGATCCGTTGAAATATTTGATCTCCTGCTACTAGACTGTATGCGACCTGCCGACCGGATATGATGTATTCCAGTGTTTTCCAAGCAGATCCGTACGCGCTAGATGAGAAATAGGAGTTTATTTGGTTATTTTTTGACGTATAAAAAGTCTATATTAAAAAAAAACTATTTTCTGTTCATGATTGTAAGCAAGAAAGCAATAAAAAAATATATTTTTAAAGTTGTCTACACATTCCCTCCAATATTTTAGCGGTCTATGAGTTTCTAGTATTTATTTATTCATTAAACCATGTAAACGCACAGAGAATAAAGGCTATTGCTTTTGCCCTCCTTTATTTCGGACACCGTGAGAATCAGCTTCTGCCCCATGGTGCCAACAACACTGAAAATACTGTGCGACTGCCACAAGGGGGCGTATTCCGACAGTCGTGTCCAAATGTCGTGTGCATTGGAAATGCGGCTTTAGCCACTAAAGCAAAAAGTTACGAATTGCTGTGAGATTGCGTTGGTAAAACATATGCTGGAATGGTTGGCGGTTCATTTCGCTGTGGTGACCTCTGAAATAGAGACTAAGCCGAAGGAAAATCAAAATTAATGAATGATTTTATATTCATTTTATGAAGCTTTAACACTGTCATCGCTACACAAGCGCGGGTAATTTGGTTTTGTTTTCGATATTCCTGACACACATTCAGTTATAGACGGCAATAACTCAAAAACCTCTTACCCTGAAAAGATCTAAAGTGTGTTTCCTACAAAAACACAAAGCTGGTTATGTTTCACATCTGTCTTTTTCTTTTTTTTCGCTCGACATTACGAGCACTGATCCGTTTAAGCCCTCGCAATATGCGTTCAGCCGGGAGAGCTCGCGCTGAGCAGAGCTCTTAGTAAGGGACCGTCTGAATGTGTCAAGAATATCGAAAACAAAACCAACTTAACTGCGCTAACAACACAAGACGTGACAAGATTGATGCGTCAAGCAATTTGTCTGTCTGCATCAAAAGTGTAGAACGACAGAAACGTTTAATAAGCAGCCACTGCACTTCCAATGAAAGGATAAAGGCTTTTCATCGAATTACTACAAGCACTTTAACATTGTTAACAGGCTACCGAGTGACTGATGCTGTTGCAGGGCTCAACAATAAGGACTGCCCGATGGCCCGGGGCCAGCGTGTGAGATGCTCGGGACAGTAGACAGGATCGTTACTGGCCCGATCGGGCCACTGATGTCCTGTCACTTAAGTTTAATTTGCCTGTGACTAATTGTTAATTGCGTGCAAAAACAGTCAGAATCAAGAAACAGTTTGTGTTTAAGCCTTCAAATGCTACCTTGAAATGCTCATTTCCTCTTATCTGATTGGATGTGAGCACGTTATTTTTTTCGTAACAACCAGTACAGCGAAGAGACTGCAACAAGGCGGCAACATCAAGTGATGATGCTAAAGGAAAACATTTGTTTCTAACGTCTTGGAAGCAGACATTTACAAGGTACACCACGACCAAAAAATTGAGTGATGTTTTGTACAGTTTGCCGTCAATTTGGCAGATCAGCCATCTTATGTTTTGCAAAAAAAATATCTGCACATTTTGCTACTTTTGTTTGCAAAACACTTTGAATTTTGCTCATACATTTATTAGCACTTTTAAAATATTTAAACTCTTGAATTACAAACATTTTGACACGTTTTGTTTTTAATTTCTGGCTACGAAATAGCTAATAACTTTTTTTTTTTTGGTAGGACCAGTGAAAATATTGCCAGGGCAAGTAAAAATCGGAACCACTGGTCCGATCGGGCCAGTAGAAAAAATCCTTAGTGTTGAACTCTGTGTTGGTTTGCACCGAGTCACAGCGTCTGACTTTCATTGCTGGTTATTTTATTGTCAAGATTGAACTATCTGCAGCTGATTTCAGTAGCATGACAGTAAATGTCACGTAAAATGGTGTTCAAACTCACAATGGAAGCATTTAACACCGAATAAAGCCCAAAATCTGTTCCTGAGGTCATCTTTGTCACAGTAGTTCATGTTGTTGACATTGCAGAAACAAAGCATTTCATTCATTCATTCATTTTCCTTCGGAGTACTCCCTTTATTCATCAGGGGTCACCACAGCGGAATGAACCGCCAACTTAACCAGCATATGTTTAACACAGCGGATGCTCTTCCAGCTGTAATCCAGTACTGGGAAACCCCCACTCATACACTTTGGCCAATTTAGTTAATCAATTCTCCCTATAGTGCATGTGTTTTGGCTGTGGAGTGCCCGGAGGAAACTACTGCATAAAAAATGTTTCATGTAAACACAAAGATGTGCATGGATGTTTAAAAACATGCACAAACTTACGAGTAGGATAAACTTTTTATCTGGCAAACAAACATGTGCATAAACCTCAATGAAACACATTTACATATGTCGAATAAAGTCCAGCATGTGAATTAGACTAAACATTAAATGTGACTGCATTGATGGCACAGGTTTCCAGCTTTCCATTGTTGCAGATGTGAAATGTTGTTGTGCTAAATGTAAAAGGCCTCATCCCTCTGTCAGTCCGTCATCACAGTGCTTCAGTATTATTCCTCTATTAGTATTCCCTCCAGAACTGTCTTGAGCATCTGTCTGCGCTCCCGTCTCACGCCTCCAAAAGCCACCGCATTGCTGCGCTTCACCTTCGTCTTCTGAGGCGCAGCTCGTTTATTAGAGATGAACAAACACCACAGTGGAGAATCCAAACAGTGCAGCACACGACACTCCTCTCAGTGATATCTGTGCATGTTTAGCAGGAGCTGATGATTCTGTTCTCTTTAGTTTCTCATTGACTGGAACTCCTGCTTTATTCACTAGTGCTTTTACAGTTTTGCACATAGTTCAATTCACATCTCTGCATTAAAACGGAACCAGTGTTTGTTACCCGGTGCAGGATTTAGTCTGTGTTTATCAGCTCTAGAAGAGTCTCCCCTCAGCTGATCTGCTCAGACAGAAGCATTGGAGACCCAGTTTCTCAGACGGCCTGAAAAAGCTCCTGGAATCTCCAGCTCTCTGAGCTCGTGTTCAGCCGGTTTTTCCAGTGTTTCGCAGCACATGAGGAGTTCAGGTAATAAATAACACAGACGCTCATTTCCTGTGTGTGAGATCAGGTTTAAGAGAATCAGTGTTTGAGGTCTCTGAATGGTCTCTTGGTTCGTACACGAATGATTCAGCTGTAATTAATTCATGCTCCAGAGTTTAAGAGAGAGTCTGCTAAAAGGCTTATGTGTAAATCTGGTTTCCAGGTTTTCTATGACCGTGGGAAACGTGGAAATATATTTACATTGAAAAGGAAAGACTTGTGGGAATGTATGTAAATATCTGAATTGTTTGAATCCTCCTCTAAATCTACTGTAAATATCTAAAATTCATTAAACAATTATTTATTCATTCATTTTATTCATTTTGTTTATTTATTGATTAATTAAATAAATAATTTTATTTATTTATTAATTCATTTTATTTTACTATTCATTTTAATTATTTATTTATTTATTCATTTATTTTTTTATTAATTTATTCGTTTTATTCATTTATTTATTTATTCATTCATTTTATTTATTCATCCAATAATTCATTCATTTTATTTATTTAGTCATTATTTTTTTATTATTCATTGATCCATTTTATTCATTCATTAATTAATTCATTTTAATTGTTTATTTATTTATTCATTCATTGTAATCATTCATTTATTTTATTTATTTATTCATTCATTCATTCATTTTATTTATTTATTTATTTGTTTATTTATGTATTTATTCATTCATTCATTTTATTTATTTATTTATTCATTCATTCATTTTATTTATTTATTTATTATTTTATTATTTATTTATTTTATTTATTCATTCATTTTTAATTCATAATTTTTATTATTTTGTTATTTAGTTTTCCATTAATTTAATTTATTTATTCATTTTATGTATTTATTTATTCATGAATTTTATTTATTTATTAATTTATTCATTTAATGTATTTATTCATTAATTTTTATTAATTTATTGATTATATATATTTATTTACTCTTTAATTTTATTTATTTATTTATTCATTATATATATTTATTTATTCTTTAATTTTATTTATTTATTTATTCATTATATTTATTTATTTATTCTTTAATTTTATTTATTTATTCATTCATTTATTTATTCATTTTATTTATTTATTTATTCATTTATTTATTTATTTATTCATTGATTCATTTTATTTATTTATTTATTCATTAATTTATTAATTATTAATTTTCCCGTTCAGTGACCAAACCTCGTTAATAATAAACAACACAAGCGATGAGTAGCCCCGTCCACCAGTGTAATGTATTTAGCCAATCAGTGACGAGCTCAACAACATGTATTTAATGAATATTCATGAAGCAGCCCTTCTTCATAGTTTTTACTGGCTCGGGCAGTAGAGGGTTAGAGGATGGAGGAGGGGCGTGATGTGCACGCGCTCGGAGACGCGCATCAGGAACTTCTTCAGTCTCTGCTGGAGGAGCGCAGAAAAGTCCGCGATATTAAAGCTGGCCAGTAATAATAATAAACCCTGAGAGAACTACAGTATGGTGAGTACAGGCGATTTACTCTCACAGACTCACGGAATATACAGCGATATGTGTTATTATGGTCATGTTTTACTCAGATGAGGGAAGTTATGATCTCTTATTAACACTGAAGCAGGTTTTTCCTCAGTTTGTTTTGGAAACGCGAATGTTTGCTTTGACTGAAGTTGGTCGGTTATCTGGACTAGAAGGTGATTCTGACGAGTAATAATCTGTAATACAGCATAAACAGGACGCGGTTTATCAGTTGAGTGATTATCGTGAGGTTTAAAGGTCTCTTTCTGTGAAAAAACACTATTTACAATAAACAAACTTCCTTCTTTTTTAGTTAGCAATTCAGTCATTGTTTACATCATAAGCAGTTTGCTCATAATTGTCAATATTTTTCCTTATTTAATCGGAATAATAAAAATATTTTGTCATTAACACAATAATAAAAACATTTTATGCTCTAGGTATATGGTATTTTCATATCTTGTATTTACACAGACCAATGACTGTTAATGCTGTAAATGACTCCACAGATTTCTCAACTTAAAGAGACAGCTCACCCAAACATAACATTTCTGTCATCGTTTACTCACCCTCAAAGCAGTTTGAGTTTCTTTCTTCGGTTGCGACATTGGAAATTAGCATTGACTTCCATTGTGTTTGTTTTTCCTGCAATGGATGTCAACACTTACAGGTTTCCAGCATTCTTCAAAATATCTACTTTTGTGTTTAACAGAATTAAAGAAAGTCAAAGATTTGGAACCACTTGATAGTGAATAAATGTACATTTTGGGGTGAACTATTAATATTAAGTTATAATTTATGCTGTCATAGATTGTTTATACAAATTTAAGTGGAACAATTAAGCTGTCCCAACAAAAAAATCTCAAGAACTGTGAATGAATCGGCTCTTTTTAAATAAGTAGTAAGAACAAGCAGCAAAAACTTTTTTTAAAAAATGTGTATTATTGTGTTTAAACTAGCTGTTTACCATAGCTAATGAGGTAATAATACTAATATATAAAAATTACTACTACATAATATATGACTAGTCTGTTTACTTGTGTAAAAGTGTGTAAATTTAGATTTATTCAGTTTTTAAATTAATTTCACTAATATTATTGACAAATTTGAAGGTGTACATTTTGATTTATTTTCAATACAGTTTGTAAAGTAATATTTTCTGTCTTTGAGTAGAGCTATTAAATGAGAGTCTTGCTTTGTTTACCAAATAAGTAAACCTAGATGGAGTTGCAATTAAATGAGTTAAAAAGATATAACTTTTTGTTTCATATATTACGTTTTTAGTTATGATATTTTTAAAATCTGCATAAATCCACACATTTTTTACAAAATTCTCCACAGAAATAGCAGATTCTGTCTGGCCCTTTATATGACTCACAGACTGAGACTGAAGCTCCTGTATGAAATAGCTGAAGCCGCACGGTTTTCCTCCCATGTTGACATGTTCTTCTGGAACAGGAAGTTTATTTTAAGTGCTCAAGGTCTGGTTGGTCAGTATACAGACTGGTTAGCCTCTGCTGGTAGATGCGGTCACTACACTATATAAACCATCCATCCATGCTTTGGACAAAGATGCAAACACCAAATACTATGATAGATGTTGTCAAGCCTTACTTTATAAAGGATAACTTATTACTAGGCCCACTGTGAATTCTGCAGATGTTTAGCCCATCATTAATTCTGTTTATTTACTTGAGTAAATGTGTGTAAATCTAGATTTATTCAGTGTTTAAATTAGTTACAATAATATTATCGACTAATATTAAAAATGTTCATCTGATTTATGTACACTGAAAAAAATTATTCAAAGATGATTCCTTGAATTTACTCAAATATGTTTTTGGTTAAGTGGTTGTAAACAATTTGTTTGGGTTGGATTTAAACAGACAAATTAAGTTGAACAATACTAAATTTAATTTGTTTGATTAAATTTAACACAAATAAATTTTAAAAAAAAATTGCTTGCAACAATTTTGCGGACACCATTTTTTTCAGTGTACAATGCAGTTTGTAGTCATATTTTCTGTCTTTTTGTAGAGATATTATTTGAGAGACTTGCTTTGTTTACCAAATGAAGTGAATCTAATTGAATTTGCATTTTAAATATTAAATACAAGTTAAGAAGATATTATTTTTATTTCACATATTTAGGTTTTAGTTATGATACTCCCAAAATAATTCAGCAGATTTTTACCAAAATTCTCTGTAGAAACGTCCGCAGATTCTGTCTGGCCCTTAGTTATCACTGTAAAAATGTCTGCTAATTAATGGTTTCTGTATTTTGTGAAATAAGTCTGGATAATATATGTACTGGCCGTTTATTAAGGTTTTTGTGGCATACTATACAACACAAACCCAGAGAATACAGCACTGCAAACTGTCATAAATGTTCATAACAGTCACTTTTACAAACTTCAAGGTTAAAAGTTGTTGGAGGACAGATCAAGATCCCATAATGCATCTCAAAAGCAGAAATAAAAAGGGGAAAATAAAAACATGAATCACAAAATACTGAAAACTTCTAATTTACACATATTTGTTTACAGTAGCTAATCAGCACTTACAGTTGAAGTCAGAATTATTAGCCCCCCTGTTTATTTTTTCCCTAATTTTTTTTTAACGGAGAGAAGATTTATTCAGCACATTTCTAAACATAATAATAACTCATCTCTAATAACTGATTTATTTTATCTATGTCATGATGACAGTAAATAATATTTATTGACGTTTTTCAAGACACTTCTATACAGCTTAAAGTGACATTTAAAGGCTTAACTAGGTTAATTAGGGTAACTAGGCAGGTTAGGGTAATTAGGCAAGTTATTCTATAATGATGGTTTGTTCTGTAGATTATCGAAAACAAAAATAGCTTAAAGGGGCTAATAATATTGACCTTAAAATGGTGTTTAAAAAATTTAAAACTGCTTTTATTCTAGCCGAACTAAAACTAATAAGACTTACTCCAGAAGAAAAAATATTATCAGACATACTGTGAAAATTTCCTTGCTCTGTTAAGCATAATTTGGGAAATATTTAAAAAAGAAAAAGAAGTTCAACGGGGGCGAATAATACTTCAACTGTATTTGAAAATATATGAAGTCTTTTCATCAGTTAATAGAGGAAGTGGAAGTGGATGAATAAAACTTTTGTGGACAATGCAGTTCCTAGTTTGCAGTTCCGTATTGATAAATTCTTCAATACATGTTTGTAGTACTTTGTATTCAGTATGAGATGGGAAAAGTCACTTTTGAATAGACTGTCACTAATCAAATCAGGAGGAGCATTATTTTTTTTGTGTGTTTCTTTGTTTTTTATATATAGACATATCCTTTTAATTTGTATATTTAGTAAATGCACAAATGTTATAGTTGTAAATAATTTTGTATGATTGTAAATGGCTGCATTTCAATGTGTAAAACTGGAAGCTAAAAAAACAAAACATCCATCCAACCATGGCATCTTTGTCCATTGATGGACAACGCAGCATGCCTGGACACTTCACCCATAACCGACAGCTCACATGATTTGGCTTGAAATGCTTTGTGAATCCGCGAGAAAGGAGCTCTAGAGTAAAAACTACACTCATTTTCTCCATGAATTAGGATTATCAGTTCAGCTTCAGTTTATTTTGTCATTCAAAAAATCACAATAAATTGTAAAGCGGAATGAAATTACGTTGCATCAGACCCAACAAGAACATAAAAACATCACTACACAAAAATCCTAACATAAGTAAGCTTTTATAATTTCATAAATATATAACTATATAGTTTTTCCCAGTGATGGATTGCAGCTGGTGGGCATCCGCTGTGTAAAAACATATACTGGAATAGTTGGCGGTTCATTCCGCTGTGGCGACCCCGGATTAATAAAGAGACTAAGCTGAAAAGAAAATGAATGAATGAATAAAAATATAGTTATATAATATATAAACCAATTAAAAAATCTCAGAAAGGAATAACTTAATACTTAAATACCTATTGCACTATTTGTTATAGTAGTTGTAATATTAACAATCGTTAATATTCCTAATATCCTAACAATCATAATGCATGCCTCTGTTGAAGCCTTTATTAATTCTTTAATTTTTTTTCCGGCTTAGTCCCTTTATTAATCAGGGGTCGCCACTGCAGAATGAACCGCCAACTTATCCAGCATATGTTTATGTCTTTTCAGCCGCAATCCATTTCTGGGAAACACCCATACACCTTTGCACGGCTAATTTAGCTTATTTAATTCACCTATAGAAAGATTTTTAAAGATAAAATAAAATAAGAACATATTTAGTGATTTAGATTCAGATTCGTCTTGTGATTTTCCTTCAGCTTGCTTCACTGCTCATAACTAAGGCCACACAGAATTTATGGATATTTTTTGGCTATTTCTGTGCAGAATTTTGTAAAAAACAAAAACTGTAGATGTACGTGGGATGATTTGGAAGTATAGTAGCTAAAAACAAAAAACAAAAAATTAGTAAAGAATAATATAAATATATATATCTATTTATTATTATTTTTAAAACATATATTTAAGATTTACAATGCAAATACAATTAGATTTACCTCTATTGTATCTACTAAAAGACAAAAAATATTACTTTACAAACTAGTATTGTAAAAAAGGCACTCAAAACAGGTGAAAAAGTTAAAAAACCTTTATTGGCATGTCAAAATTGGCATTTGTCATCTATTTTTCGAGTGCCTTGCACCAATTTGTGTATTTTTAAGAATCCCTTATACAAAAATGTGCATATTAGTCAATGATATAACTGAAATTAATATAAGAAGTGAGATGGCCTCACAGCAAGAAGGTCTCTGGTTTGAGTCCCGGCTGGGTCAGTTGGTGTTTCTGTGTGGAGTTTGCATGTTCTCCCTGTGTTGGTGTGGGTTTCCTCCGGGTGCTCCGGTTTCCCCCACAGTCCAAACACATGCGCCATAGGAGAATTAGATTATCTAAACTGGCTGTAGTGTATGAGTGTGTGTATGAAT